TTTAAGATTTTATTTTTTTTGGGTCTGGTCATGGGTCCTGAACTCTGGGCCTGGGTGCTGTCTCTCAGCTCTTCAACTCAAGGCTAGCGCTCTACCACTTGAGCCACAGTGCCAATTCCGGCTTTTTTCTTTTTGCTTATGTGGTGCTGAGGAATTCAACCCAAGGCCTCATGCATGCAAGGCAAGCGCTCTACCACTGAGCCACCTTCCCAGCCCTAATTTAAGATTTTTGATGCTGTGATCTAGGGGCTATATAATATTTTAGGTGGCTTTAATAGTACCTTCTCAATGAGGATGGTAAGTGCATGGAATTACTTGAGTTTACCTTTCCAATGAAGATTACTGATACTTAAGTGATCTGTTTGATTCAATTGTAAGAGCAGTAGGAATTTCCATAAAAGGCAACATTTTAGAAAACTTTCTTTTGCCAGGCACTGTTGGATTACACTTGTAATCCTTGCTACTCAGGAGGTTGAGATGTGAGGATTGCAATTCAAAGCCAGGCTGGACAAGAAAGTCTGTGAGGCTCTTATTTCCAATTACTCACCAGAAAACCAGAAATGGAGCTGTGGCTAAAAGTGATAGAGATCTAGCCTTATGCAAAAAAGCTCAGGGGTAGTGCCTAGGCCTTGAGATCAAGTCCCACCACCAACAAAAACAAAACAAAACAAAAACACTTTCAAGGAAAACTGTGAGTAGAGTGGCAGGTTTTTGTTTTTGTTTTTGTTTTTGCTGGTCATGTGGCCTGAACTCAGGGCCTGGGTGCTGTCCCTCAGCTCTTCAGCTCCAGGCTAGCACTCTACCACTTGAGGCACAGCGCCACTTCCGGCTTTTTTTTCTTTTTGCTTATGTGGTGCTGAGGAATCGAACCCAGGGCCTCAGGCATGCAAGGCAAGCACTCTACCACTGAGCTACCTTCCCAACCCCGAGTGGCAGGTTTTGAAGGTAAAGTAGGTTTCAAAATATGGAGAAAAAGTTGAAGCCAGTTTAGAGTTCCAGCAAAGCCAGAAACTGGTGTGATTTTTTTTTTTGGGTCTGGTCATGGGTCTTGAACTCTGGGCCTGGGCGCTGTCCCTTAGCTCTTCAGCTCAAGGCTAGCACTCTACCACTTGAGCCACAGCGCTACTTCCGGCTTTTTTCTTTTTTCTTATGTGGTGCTGAGGAATCGAACCCAGGGCCTCATGCATGCAAGGCAAGTGCTCTACCACTGAGCCACCTTCCCAGCCCTGAGCCAGCTTCTTAATTGACAAATTATAGCTGCTAGTAGGGTCTTGTTAGTGTTTGCTATTTACATTGTGTACATCTTAATAATGTTAAAACCTTCTACTAGGTTCTTTTGAATATTTCAAAAGCAGGACTAGAGGTACTACATGTTCAATTCTTATTAGATCAGTAAGAGGGAATAGAATGAAGGAAATTAGACAAGGGCACACATGCCCCTGTTTGCTTATTCAATAAGTAAGTGCTGATAAAAATCTAAATAACTCCTAGACAAGGGCATGAAACTAAAGACTGCAACACTTATCTCAGGGTAGCTTAATTCAGGGTCTGATGCTTGGTAGGGAAATACTCTTCTATTTGCGTTATGAATTTAGCCCTTTTTACTTGATTTCAAGTTAAGAGTTTCACTAACTTTCCCCAGGCTGTTCTCTGCCTCTCAAGTAGCTGGGATCATAGTTAATATCACCACACTGGGATGGGAATATAGGTTTTTATATTTTGTAAGTCAAAGCTATAAATTGTGTTGCCTGTGTGTATGTATGTATGTATGTATGTTTTTACTTTTTTTAATCTCCAGTCAAAGTATGATGAACTTAAAAAATCAGAAAAGGGAAATAAACAGCAACATAAAGTTCATAAGTACATTTCATCATGTGAGATGGTGATGGCTCCTGTCCATGAAGCAGTGGTCTCCATACATGTTGCCAAAGTCTGGGATGACATCAGCCCTCAGTTCTATGCCACATTCTGGTCATTGACGATGTATGATCTTGCGGTTCCACATTCCAGCTATGAACGTGAAGTCAATAAACTTAAAGTCCAGATGAAAGCAATTGATGACAATCAGGAAATGGTAGGTTTTCATCCTGACAGAGCACGTATAATAAGTATTCAGTGTTATACGTTATACATATTTTGAAATTGCTTTAATTTAAGATTTTATTTTTTTTGGCAGTTAATTGGAGATAAGAATCTCACAGACTTTTCTGCCCCAGCTGGCTTTGAGTCTTGTTCCTCAGATCTCAGCCTCCTGAGTAGCTAGGATTACAGGCATGAGCCCCTTTTTTATGATTATGTAATTATATTTGTGGTTTATCCTTCTAGATGCAAACTTTGGATTCCTTTTCTCTTCTTCATTTTTGAGACAGGGTCTCAAGAAAGCCTATGTAACACATGCTGAACCTGAATTTATGATTCTTTTGCCTCTGGCTTCCTAGTGCCGGTAATCGTTACCATGGATAGCTTTTGTTCATATTCCCCCTCCTCGTTTTCCTGTTTAGTGTACAACATTAGACTTGTTTTACATTTTTTTGGGGGGGTCCGGTCGTGGGGCCTGAACTCTGGGCCTGGGCACTGTCCCTCAACTCTTCAGCTCAAGGCTATCACTCTACCACTTGAGCCACAGCGCCACTTCCAGCTTTTTTTTTCCTGCTTATGTGGTGCTGAGGAATCGAACACAGGACCTCAGGCATGTAAGGCAAGCGCTCTACCACTGAGCCACCTTCCCAGATCTTGTTTTACATTTTTAAAACTGTTAATTTCCTACCTAATATATGTACATATTAAGGGATATATTGTGATAATTCAGCATAGTATGCATATAATGTGTAACAATCAAATTTGCAAAAAGCATTTCCATCTCAATCATTTGCCATTTGTCTTGAGAAACTGAGTTTTTCTAGTTTTTGTAAAAAATACATAGAACATTGTTACTATAGTAGTTAACCATTGTATGCTATGCAAAACTAGAGCTTATCCCTCCTATTTAACTGTATTTTGTTACTCATGATCCATCATCTGTCCCACTTCTAGTAACTATTTACTATTCTACTTTCTATTTCTGCAAAGTCAAATATTTTAGCTTCCATATGAGTGGGAAGATGTGGTGAATGTCTTTTATGCCTTGCTTATTTTAATTATCACAATGTTCTCCAGTTTTGTGCTTGTTGTAAAAATGCAATTTGGATTATTATTTAAAATGTTACTGAATAACATCTTAATCATTTTTGCAGTATGTTTGTTAGAGTTGTACAATAGTAACTTATATGTATTTTCCTCTTATTTTTAAAATATAGTGTCATGATACCCTGGTACAGTTTGGTGGGTTTTTAGCATCAAATCTAAGCACAGAAGATTATATAAAGCGAGTGCCTTCAATTGATGTGCTCTGTAATGAATTTCATACACCCCATGATGCAGCATTTTTTCTGTCTAGGCCAATGTATGCACACCATATTTCGGTAAGTACAATATCTTTGTTACAATTCAAGAATGCTTTCAAAAATGTTTCATTTGTTAATACATTTTCCTTTGGTAAAGATATATATTGTCTTTTGGAGAGTTATTATTTTGTGTATATTCACTCTGAGCAATATATAATGAAGACTTTTCCTTTTAAAAATAGATCTTACCAGTTCTGTAACTTTATTCTTATTGTCCTATCAATTAATATTTATCAAAATGTAGTTCTCAAATGTTGGTATGGATGAGAATCACCTAAGAAGAATCTTAAAAATTCAGTATTATCCTCCTGTTCAAAATTCTACTTCAGTAACTTAAGAAGAGTACCTTGGGACTTCTGGGCATTTTGGTTTTGGTTTTGTTTGTTAACAAACGCTAGATGATTTTGATGCCTGTGATTAAGGGTATGTCACTCAGGAAAGCTTTCTTGACGAGTGTCCTCTTTGTCTTAACAATATTCCTCTCAGATGGTTGACTGCTGTTATTCATAATGCCTAGAAAGAATGTTTTAGCAAGTCCTCCTCCCCCTAAAAAGTCTTGCTTTCTCTGTTGTTTTATCTTCTAGTAAGAGAATGTTTGTATTTGTTGCTTCTATCCACCTAAATAAAACCATTAAAAAAGTCTGCCCCAAAATGAACTTTTCAGTAGTGCCTATTGAAACTCAGGTAACCATATAGAAGGAGAGAAGATAAACAGTGACTATTCATGAAACATACTTTGTCTCTCCTCTTGAGGGCAATGGTCAGTTCATTGAGGCCCAGCATGTTTTTCATTTTTCTTTTGTTTTGGATTCTGCCCCTTTGATTAATTTTTTTAAAAAATTGTTTTAAAGTCTATAACTATACAGGGCTTTCACTTCAGATTTTGGAGAAAGTTTTGATCCTTTCCTTTCTTTGTTCCCAGGAAGGACATGGATTATATAGAGAGATTTGCAAAAAAGGTACTGAGAAGTTTGAGGTTCAGTTGAACATATTATCAACCATCAACAGTTGGTATTTACATACCAACAACTACAGTTTCCATTTCCTTCTACAATTAACTAATGTTAATTGATTTAATTACTTATGCTGTATACTCTCAGGGGAAATGAATGTGATAAAAGAATAAGCCTTGTGTTTGCCTTTAGAATGTCAGTGTAGAGACTATATGCTATATTTGTGTATTTATGTCATGGATTACTGAAGGTAGATGAGTCTCAGTTTATAGAAAGAATGAAGACCTAATTGCTTCATCTCAGGATTCCCCCTTGCCCTGTACTATGCTGGACAGTGTACATAGAAATCAACAGTAGTGAACTCTAGCAAATAAAATAGAGAAGATTATTTGTATCAATAACCACCTTTATTTCTAGTCTTTGTAAAATAGTATTTCTTTGTTTTTTAAGAGATACAAATCTAATGAAAGAAGTGACATTTCATTCTTAAAAGTTGAAGAAGGAAACACAGAAGTAATATAGAGGTAGTTATATAGCCTAGGTAGGGTTAAGTGTTTTATGCAAAGGCTCTTCTGGAAAGGGAATTCCCCAGCAACCATGCACTGGATGAGCATTCAACCTGAGCTGATTTTGCTTCTTAGGTAAAATCTTCTCTTGAAGAGCCTTAGATGAGAAAGTAAAGTGTATGAGTACTAGAGGACAACTAGGTTCCTTCAATAGCAAGCCACTTTGGAACTGATTCAACCAAAGACTTCTCAGACTTTGGGGCCAGCAAAACCTTTTTGAACAGCAATCAGAAATACAGCACAAAGTTAATATCAGCTCTGTTCAGTAATGTCTTGTTCATCCAGGTAGCTGTTTGTGAGTCTCCCTTTGAGTTAATATGTGAACTTGAAGAACTAGGTAAATCAGCATTAGAGTAATAGTACAAGAAATCTAACTGTCACGTCTGATTAAGCCTGATTCTCTAACTAGATTGGCACTCAGAGTGGGCCTAGCAGAAGGCACTGATTCAGAACCACGGAAGTTGGGAGAATGGAGCTATCGTAGAATCCTTTCATATTTATAAGTTAATTTTCACTTTTAATCATTGATACTTACCCTAAGAAATGGGCTTGAAAAATAAGCTTTCTATCTTCCAGTTGATATTCTAGATTTTTTCCAAAATTAGGTAACTAAACTGATATATGCAGATTGGTAGTTTCATAGTTATTTTGTTAGCTTAGCAGATGTAATTCTGCTTTCGTTCATAATAATTATCTTTGGTAAGATCTTTCTAAAGTTAAAATAGTGTTATTATTCAGTTGCTATTCTCTCAGGTCTTGGATGTAATAAACTCACTTTCTCATAACTAATGTTTTTTGTTGAATTGTCACCTGGGTAATTTCAGTAGTTATCAGCATGCTCTCTAACATGGGGATAACTGGAAATAAATTCTTCCCGTCCTATAACAATTTTAAGACTCTCTCAGGTCCTGCTTGAGATACCCTCTGTAATAAAGAGGACTTATTATGCTTTCAGTCCAGTGAGCCGGGGAGAAATGCGGCACTCAGAAAGGAAGGCAGCTGGACTGTAAGGAGCAGAGATTCTTATGTGAGTGCAGAACTGGAGCAGAACCTTTGACCTCTGACCATCAGTTTTGGGTGATATGTTTAACATAAATGGAATATTTAAGTGATTTTCTAACATAAAGTATCAGCTAGTTTTAGAATTTGTTTTAGATTTACCTTAACGATACTGCCTAACTCAAGTAAAATCTTCTCTGTGAGAGCTACTTTATCTTAAAGAGACTAAAGAACATGAGAAAATAGCAACAATTGTACAATGTATTTATTTTATACAACTTGACATAAGCTCTATGAACTAATATATAGTCAATCTCAATGTACTAACAGTTTTTTATAAAAATAATTTACACTATGGCTTTCCTCTAATTGTGTCCCAAAATAAGATAAACCAGCCATACCAAAGAAGCTATACAGTCAGTTCTCATACATATAAATTTCAATATACAATAGATACTTAAAGAAAATTTTATTCGGTTTAACAATAATCCGCTGATCCTACTTTGCCTGGGAGTTTTCTAGTTTCAGCTCTGAAGTCTTGCTTCTAAGGAAAGCCCTGGCAGATCTGGACATTTGGTCACGTATAAATTAGTTTTATGGTGACTTTTCTTGTAGCCCTTCTTAAGTGTTGAGCCAGCTTCTTTTTTTTGGGTCCAGTCGTGGGGCCTGAACTCTGGGCCTGGGCGCTGTCCCTCAGCTCTTCAGCTCAAGGCTAGCGCTCTACCACTTGAGCTACAG